TTTGAAAATGTGCAGGTACAACAAAATTTTTATTTCAATTTGCGTTTTGCCTCAAAAAATCTGAAGTATTGAAGAAATTAAGGAAAACACAAGAAATTGGTTCGATCGATGAGTTCCATGTATATGAACTGTTAGACAAGAGGAGAGCATGCAGTTGACAAAGTGGAAAAGTTCTTCCAAATCAAGAAATTGGCAAATCACTTGATTGCACAAGAAGATCACTAAAAGCACTAACGTACAAATCAAAAGAATTACTAACACTAAAAATTAACACGAAATTTTCGAGTATAAACCTTAGAAGACATATCAATAAGATGCAAAAGAGGTGAGTTATTTGGTTTCGAAACTTCAATATTTTATACATAGTTTTTGCTTTGCATATACATACATAGGTTAATCAATCAGTTTTAGATAAAATAGTATTTAATAAAAAATTCTTGTGTAAAAGTTCTCTTGAATTGTTTTCTGGCTTGCTTAAATTGCTGCTCATTCATTCATACTTTTTTATATTGTGGAATTATTGCACAACTCGAAATAAAGTTTTTATGATTTATTACCAATTTGTATGTTTTGCGATAGTGGTGCAATTATTGAAATTATATTTGGCATTTTTGTTTTTTTTTCAAGCTTTTTTTGCATATATGCTTATTTGAGTTTGTGTATAGATTCTGTAAATCTAACTGCTAATTTGAGGTTTTGAAATCCGTAATTTCAGGTTATTGTTTTGCTCAAATTAGTTTTCTCTGATTGGATTCAAGGTATACGGGCTTTTAATAAATCAAACTGTAGAATCTTGTCTTTGGAGTATCTAAGATCTTCAGATAAATTAAATAGCCAACTTCAGTGATGTAACCTTATCTGCTTTACTTGTATGTTCTGAGCTTGATGCGGTTACACTGGTATGTTAGGGCTTAAGGAAGTAAATTTTGGCGTATTTCTTGCAGCTCCATAATATTTTGTAAAGATCATAATGTTTCCGGATCAAAAACTTTTTCACTTTTCTGTACTCTTGCAGCTTTGTATGTCGTCATCAACTTTACGTGAGAAAAGGAAATTGAATTCTTTTAAAGTGCTGGAGTGCTGATTTAAGTTATGCGGATAAAAATATAAATCACTTGAAAATTGAAATCCGTTTTTATCAATTTGGGTTAACTGTAGACGAAAAAAGAAACGGGCAAAACTTGCTTAGATTTATATCAAAAATAAAATAGTGCAATCATATTTAGCAAATTGTTTACACACAATTCTTACCAGATGATCAAAAATTGCGCTAAAACTAGCGGGTCAATTACTTTAAGAAAAAGTTTAAAATTTTGCATGTAGCCGACCAATTTTTAAGAATGACAAATCTCCAGAAGTTTGCTCAAACTTTTTAAAAAAGGTTATTACATAAAAAAATTGGAGCTTTATGTGATAAAATTGAATTTCTATGGCTCTCAAATAAAAATAAACCAATTTATTCAAAATTTAACAGATTGCACCCTGATTTTTGGGCTAGATATTAGGCTCACTTTGTCATAGTGTTGTTATCACTTGACCCCGTTGTCTTCCCGCAACTTTTGGTTGATTGAAAAAAGTAAATCCGTTTTTTGATAAAATTTTATTTGCGGGTAATAGTTTTTTAGTTTGCATCGTATTAGTTTGGACAAAATTCTAAGCAAGTTGTTTTTTCGTGTCTTTTTGTCTAATTTTAACCCAATTCGAGTTTTAATTTCCAAATTTCCAAAACTGAAAATGCAAGTGAGCTCAGTACAAGTTGGTTAATGTGCGCCAGGAAACTTTTGAGAAAAGTCGAAGATTTTCAGGCCAAAACTTCAAAAACAATCTTAACTTTCTTTTACTGGTTTACTTACCATGCTATAGAAGTAAGAAATTCACCAAAATTTTTACCCTTGCCGTTAAATGGAAAGCCATAAATTCAATTTTAGTTCATATGATCTCTCGTCCGAAAAGTTCTCTCGTTTTTCAGGAAATATAGTTTTGTTTGCACTACTTTTTCAACAATTGCTTTGACTGAACCTTACTTTTACCAAGTCTAAGCTCCGATTAATTATTTTGAAAATCCAATTCCTGACATTTTTGTAATTTTTTTCTTAAATTTTCAGATCTAAGCAAGTCACAAACACACTCACACAAGCGCACGCATACACACATTTTAATTGACAAAAAAGACTATTTTGAGCAGTTTTTTGAAAGTTTTCGCCCGAAAATGAGGTAAAAGCTCCCCTTTTCCTTGAAATTGACATACGTTTATAACAAAAGCGTTTAAAGAAAATTTTCAGCCGTGGTCGGGTATAAATTTCAAAAAACCAATATCAAGGAGTGTTTTAACTAGATTCTACCGTTGCATAAGTCCTGTAAACAAAACTATGAAATAAAATTTTTTATCTCAGCAAAACTATAGATGTAGATGTAGTCCATTGAAATGATGTCATATTACAAGTATTAGCTTAGTTTTTTCCTTCAAAAATGTTTTCACAGTTCGTTTCAAGCGGCATTATTCTCATGAGATTCCTCATTTGTAAATAAAAAAAATACAATGAAAAACCTAATGCTGTAAAAAATATTGCTGGTAAAGTTGTTGCACTTACTGGATAACCTGGTTGCCATTTCAAACGTTTTGCCATACAAAACGCATGTCATTAGCAAAAACATTAATTTTCAGAATACCAGAGATTTTCCATCATTATAGTTTCGTTTTAATTTTTGATGAAAAGAATATAAAACCGTTCTTTTTCGACTGTTTTATTTTAAAATAAGCAGTTTTTCCAGCTCTTAATCAGCAATTATTTCGCTTGATATGATTTCAAACTAAAAAGCTGCTATTATTTTTGCAAATGGCGAAATCTAGCCAGCTTGGGTTTAATGGAAAACCATTTAAAATTGGCGCATTTATTAAAACAAAACAGATTGAATTGAAGCGATATATTCAGTCATATTAATAAGCTACTAGGCCCGAACACTTTGTCTTAAAGATAGTATAGGTGTGGTGAAACAATAAAAAAGTTTTAAAAAACTTATTTCACAAAGCAACAGCCACAGCATTTAGAGCTATGACCTGATACAATCTTGTTTCTTCTTCAGATGATAAGAATTTTCGAATGATTTGGTTAAAAATTTCGAATGGCCTAAAATTACTCACTCGGACTAAATATGAGGTTTTTTTTAAATTTTGTTGATGCACATAATCGGTATGCAGTGTTTCAATTATTTTGAGTTCAAGCAAAACAGTTGTTCTATTTGATTCCTCATTAAGCCCAAACTAAAAAAACTAGTTGGTTAAGACTTGTATTTGATTTTACAATTTCTAACTTCTAACTTGTCGAAAAAATAGGTAAAGGAAATGATAATTCTCATGCAAGCCATTATATTGTTACGACTTTTGAAGAAAATGACGGAATTTTGTGCTGTTTATTTTTTTCTTTTGATAGTTTTAAACTTTTTTACCATCCGTTTTTGACGGGTCTTCTAAAATATGTATATCGATTTTTAGAGGTCGAAATTCATAAGATATATCCTTTCTATTAATTTTGTAAAAGTATCGGTGGTTGAGAAACGATTTTTGGGACAATTGTGATGCGGTCTATATTGCTCTAGGAACTAGAAAAAGTGCGGCTCAGAAAAAATTCCAAATTGAACTGAAGCAAATTGTTTGCTTTAATTGATGATGCATTAGACGCAAAAAGTGACACGTCTTACTTTTAAAAGCGCGTGGTGCAATAGCTATGTCATAAAACTAAAAAGTATTGTTGTTAAAGGAAAATCCAAAGTTACGCCATGTTAAGAGCACTTAGGACTCGGCATGGCTGTGGGTTAGGGATGTCAAGCAAAAGTTGTAAATTTCGTGATAAATACCATTTCTTTTTTTCCAAAACAATTTTGAGAAAAAATACAAAGCACTGAAAGTTTCAAGACTTAGCCCCTTGATACCAGCATTATTGTTTTGCATGTATGTTTTGGTTTAGATTCGAACAAAAATTAATATGACAGACAAAAAAACTTTCATCTGAAAACATTGTATATTATACAATTTGTAAGTAAAACCTTGATCAAACAGATTATGATGGTAACTCTAAAAAATATCTGAAATCAAAATATGTCTAGATACTTGATCAGCTGATCTTACAGTCACCTGACGTGTCAATTTTGCAGCCACTTGGTTTGACCAAAAAACAGTAGACTATAAAAAGGTAAAAAAGATTAGCATCTGAAATTATTGTATAGTATACGTATCTTAAGTAAACACATGATCAGACAGACTATGTTGCAAATTCTAAAAACTATCTGACATCAAAATATTTATAGATTCTTGATCAGCTGATCTTACAGTCACCCAGTCACCTGACGTGTCTTTTTTGTAGCCACCACTTGATTTGACCAAAAAAAGGATAGAATACAAAAAGGTAAAAAGATTTGCATCTGAAATCATTGTATAGTATACGTATCGTAAGTAAACACATTATCAGACAGACTATGTTGCAAATTCTAAAAACTATCTGACATCAAAATATATATAGATTCTTGACCAGCTGATCTTACAGTCATCTGACGTGTCAATTTTGTAGCCACTTGATTTGACCAAAAAATATACTATAAAAAGGTAAAAAGATTAGCATCTAAAATCATTGTATAGTATACGTATCGTTCGTAAACACATGATCAAGCAGACTATGATGCAAATTCTAAAAATTGTCTGACATCAAAATATGTATAGATTCTTGATCAGCTGATCTTACAGTCACCTGACGTGTCAATTTTGTAGCCACTTGATTTGACCAAAAAACAATAGACTATAAAAAGGTAAAAAGATTAGCATCTGAAATCATTGTATAGTATACGTATCGTTAGTAAACACATGATCAGGTAGACTATGATGCAAGTTCTAAAAACTATCTGACCTCAAAATATGAATAGATTCTTGATCAGCTGACTTTACAGTCACTGACGTGTCAGTTTTATAGCCACTTGATTTGACCACCAAAATTATTTTTTGTTGAAAAGTTAAAAAAACGAGCATCTGAAATCATTGTATAGTTTACGTATCGTAAGTAAACACATGATCAGACAGACTATGATGCAAATTCCAAAAATTGTCTGACATCAAAATCTATATAGCTTTTTGCTCACATGATTTTTAGTCACCCACTTTTCTCTTCAATTTTGTAATCAACTGACGCTATTTAAAATTAACTTTTCATTTTGTCGTTTTTGCTTCTGCTGAATAGTCTTTCGTTTTATTCCAAAAAAATCAAACCGCACACACAAGTATGGTAAGTTAGTTTAATGTTCATTACGAGTCCAATATTTCCAAAAGATACGCGCAGGGTTGTCTATAGATCACTGGAATATAAGTCTTTAAGTAATAGTTTTGTCGCGTATTCCTGAACAAAAATATAACCTTGGTACATATCCGTAGCGGAATCCGCTTGCGTTTTTGGAAACCGCAACAGCTAGCTAGCTGTGAGCAAATCTGCAAACTGTATGCGGAATCCGCAAAGTGTGAGCAACAATCGCGAAGTTTTGTTAGATCCGCTTTCAATTTGCGGAATCCGCTTCCATTTGCTAAATCCGCAACAGCTAGCTACACTCGCTCGTGACGGAATCCGCGAAAGATTTATTGTGATGAAAAATTTTGCATTGCACGTATTTGAGAGCGGAATCCACAGAAATTTTGTAAGTTGTCAAGTTGGGTTATTGTAAATTGCACAAATTGACCCGGACTCCGCATTTTGTTGTGGATTCCGCGATTTCGTCTAAAACTATTTTATAATATACAATTTGTAAGTAAAATCATGATCAGACAGATTATGATGCAAATTGTAAAAGATATCTGATATCAAAATATATATATAGGTTCTTAATCAGGTGACTGAAAATATCTGAAATCAAAATATTTATAGATTCTTATTGAGCTGACTGAATTTTAAAGCCACTTGATTTCAACACAAAAATGATATAATATAAAAAGTAAAAAGATTAGCATGTCAAATCATTGTATAGTATATGTATCGACAGATTATGATGTAATTACAAAAAATTGTGTGACATCAAATTTTATGCATAAACTTTTGCTCACATGATTTGTAGTCGCCTTTCGTTTCAATAGTCACCTGACGCTAATTAAAAATAACTTCTTGTGTTTTTTTTTTTGCTTTTGCTGAATAGTCTATCGTTATATTCCAAAAAAATTGTCAAATCGCAATCACAACTATGGTATGTTAGTTTAACGTTCATTACAGATTATGGTGCAATTCCTAGAAATTATCTGACATCAAAAAATGTACAGGTTTTTGATCAGCTGACTTTACAGTCACCTGACGTGTCAACTTTCATAGCCATTTGATATGAAAAGAAAAATGATATGCAATAAAATATTTGAAAAAGCATCGGAAATCATTGTATAATATACGCATCAGACAGATTATGATGCAAAACTCTAAAAATTGTCTGACATCAAAATACGTATAGATTTTTGCTCACATGATTTTTAGTCACCACCTGCTTTTAGTCATCGCTTCAGTTTTACAGTCACCTGGCGCTAAATGAAGATAACTTTTTATCTTGTTGTTTTTGTTTTTGCTGAATAGTCTATCGTTATATTCCATAAAAAATCATCAAATCGCAATCACAACTGTAGTAAGTTAGTTTAATGTTCATTACGAGTCCAAGCTTTGCAAAGGACACGCGCAGGGTTGTCTATAGATCACTGGAAGAATAAACGTCTTTAAACTTAACCCAAAATTTCAGCGGATTGCGCGTGTTATTTAAATTTTAGCCTCACATTATTTTTGCCGCGGATTCCGCACTGAGCAAAAATATCACGATGCGACGAATTCCGCAAAAGCAAGCTGATTCCTCAAAGTGCGAGGTCAAATGCAACAGTCAATTTTTATTAATATTGTGTTATGTTTGAAAATTTAAGACAATCTTAGAAAAAAAACTTCATTTTGTTAATTAAAATTGATATAATGGTCTGTCAAAAAAGTGTAATCCATTTCTTAATTGATTATAATAGGTGGTTTTTGATTTTTGCTGAGAATGACATTAATAACCTAGTATTGTCGTTTTCTTCAAGGGAGAGCCATCAAGCGGATCTGGACAGAACAGCAGCACAACAGGACAGGTTATTGACTCTTTTTTATTTTTTATTCTCACGACCAACCCTGCAATGCATATAATGTTTTTTTTTCAAAAACTTAAATTTATGTGTAAGTACACAATCTAAAAAACTTAAGTTTTTGTGTAAGTACGCAATCTAAAAATAATTAAATGTATATGTAAGTACGCAATCTTTAGTCTAATTGGAATCAATGGAAGGGGAACCTTTGATAAATCCTGCAGAAGAAAATCAAATTAAAAAAATTTAAAGTTTCGTCAATGCTTCATTTTCAATTTTTGAACATAAATCAAGAAACACTCCTCCCTAAATTCTTTTCAGAAAAATATATTTTTAAACTGACGGGGGAAAATCCGGATTAAAATTTAATGCGGCCATGTTTTTGATTAGGGTTCTTGAAAAAATCTGAAGAAAAGTATCATCTTGCAAAAAACTGAGATCTCTTTGCCACATTCTTTTATGGCAACTTTAAGTTTTCAGCAGGAATTTGTTGCCTCTTATCTCTTTAAAGGGGAAATTGAGAGCAGAATTACCAAATAGAAGCTTTACTTACACCGTTCATCGGTGCTGGCTTTTTCTAAACCTGGATCAGAAAGTTTTGAATGATAGTTCAAATTTTCAAGGTCGCAAGACTTCTGATGGATTTTAAAGTTTCATCCGTTTTGGGCATTTGCTCGATGTTTTGCAAAAAGTGCTGAAGAAATGTTTGACATAATTATAAAAGATCATCACGCCTTACAAGAATTAGTTGAACCAAAAATAGTTGTTATGACGCACCTTTTGTTAATTTGATTCAAATTCAAATCTTCATTACAAATCAATATTAGATCATAATACGGTTCTACCTGCTACTTGACACTTTACCTCGCTTGGAAAAAAGTTGATACAGAAGCTGATTTAATGAGGTTTAATTTCGATTTCTGGGTTTCGGTAACAAAACTAAAATGTTGACCACAATGTAGAAGGCGTAATGTCAAAAATTTATTTAAAAAAGCGCACAAAAGTAAAATTTGTATCGAAGAAGGTAAGCTAAGGAAAGAGGAATGGACAAAATGTTGTAGAAAAAACTAACAATTTCGTTGAAAAGAATCAATTGTTACACTTGTGAAAGTAAGTGTCTGGTAATTGGCAACTAGAGTTTTTCACTGAAGCTATTTTTCATGTAAATTCTTCTCCTGTTTGCTTACTTTTTTTATCTTCTCTTATTCTCTCCTCTTCTCTCAACATCTTTCAGGTTTCTTCCCATTTGGCATTGGGGTAACGCTGTTCCCTTTCTACCCTAAAGTCTGTGGTTCGAGTCTCCGCCGGATTTTCTTTTTGTTTCAGTATGTATCAAATTGGATTTTTTTTGGTATTTTTTGCTCAAGTTTTGCCGGGTAGGTTGCCTTATCACGGATTTTCCATGTTTACAATAAGCAACTTTCATTGCAGTTGCAAGTGTAAGTTTTGTTCAATCTAGTTTCAGGGGGACTTGAAAGATTTTCTCTTATATTTTTTTTGGTTTAACTGGTGTCTGCCCAAAAGTTGACAGCTCAGTACTGATTTTTTTTTGAGCTGTAAGCATATTTTATTCTAGCTTGAAGTAAGTATTTTTTATTGTAAATCAGGTGAAACTTCAAAATTTACAGATTTTTCGGCAAAATTATGTTTTACTCGGCGCAACTTGTGCTTTTCAAAAATAGTGGATCAGCTTCCTTTGTTCCTATGCTAATTTGTAATCCAAATGCCTGGCATGATTGCCTCGAAAGATTTTCTATCAAGACGTACAAAAAAACTAAATTTTGGTAGACCTAGTTTTCTTCCTTCTTTTTCAGATTTTTTCAAGTCTTGATGTTTGTGCGGCATCGAGAGTGGTGCACATAAACCAAATCAAGATACTGCGACAACAGGCTGTAATTAAACAGTAAACAAAATTCATCAAAACTTTTAGTGAAATATTTCCAAATCAAAAAAAATTTTATTTTATTGAAAATGGTTTAAACTTAGCTTCTTAGTTTGAAAATACTGTTGCTAAACAGCTTAGCTATTATGCGTTCAACAAATCAGTTTGCCTGTTATAATTATGCTATCAACAAGACAAAAACATTTTTTGTATACTTGCTTCCTAGGTTCATTAGAATTGAAGAACCATTAAATGTTTTTCCTCAAGTTCATTTAAAATTGCTCTTAAAACCCTGTTGGAATCAAAAAAAAATATTTTTCAAAAGTCGGAAAAAAGATTGTTTCCTGGTGAAACATAAAATGAAAAAAAAATCATTGCAAATTTGTCTTGAAACTTTTTGATGGTGTATTAAAATTTAGGGAAAAACTGGAAAATATTCAAAAATTGAAGAAACTTTGCTATGAATTATTGATTCAAATTGAATTTCATGCAAATCTATCATTTTTCTTGAAAACAATTTATCAGTATTGTATTTACCATATTGAACAACTGTTGAAGCAGTTATGTCTCAATTAGAATGACAATGAATCAAGTTCACTCTTTTATATTCTCAATTATAAAAAACTCGAAAACAGGAAAAAGAGAAAAAACTCAATCTGTTATACTTTTGAAAAATTTTTTGAATGTACCTTAGTTAAAACTTGGAGAGAAGTTTGGCTGTTTTGGTAAACTCTTACTAAACAATCTTGTAAGATATGGAAGATTCTTCGGGAAAATTTAAAGAATCTAGAAGAATAAAAACTGGAAGAAAAAAAACTGGAAAAATAACAAGATAGTAAAAGTTTTCTAAACCATTTTTCACGATTTGCAAAAAAATGGGCGTTTTTACTTCCAAGATTCTACAAAAAACTTATGAAAAATACTATATGATTTTCTATGAAAAATCTAAAAATTCTCCAAAAGTTTTAGTGTTAAAACTCAATTGTAAAACAATTAAAAATAAGGCTAATATGATTATAGCAAAGTCAAATGAATTTTTAAAATGATGACACTGCACAATGAAATTAGAAACAATCAATTGAATTAATGAAACTATACAGATTAATACAAACAAAAAAAAACGAAAACGAAAAGTGCCAACGCCAAAGACAAAACTTGATAAAACAGGGAATCGCCTTTCTAATTAAATGAATTTAAAACATAGAGAGATAAAAGACAAAATAAGCTTTGTTGAAACTTTTATAAATGAAAACAACATATCTACACAAAAAAAACAACCTGCAATGCAAATTCAAAAACATACACTAAAGTCTTTAAAACGATGCTAGGCAAAATTATGAGAAATACAGGGTAAGCTTAGTCGACAATAGGAAATTTGATAACAGCAGCTGATACAAATTGCCCTCTGGTTGTAGCAAAAAATTTCAGCACAATTTAATCCATTTTTAGGAAAATTGAATTCAAAAGCCAAACGAACCAATGCATCTTTATTGATCTTCCCCATAGGCAAATCAAATCGCCTTCAATAGCTACACGCAATTTCATCAAAGTTATAATACCTATTTTTTTATATATGCCTGTTTCTAACAACCTAACCAGAATTAATTATTAATCCAGATAGTTATGCCTGAAAAACTAATATACTATGTGCACAGTTTCTTAGCAAGCTTTAGTTTTGACTCTTATTTTGCCAATTTTTCCCAATACTATAAGCCATAATTTTTTGCTATTTTTGACGACTTGTTTAAATGTATGTTTAAGACTTTGCTAAGAACATTTTCTATGAAAATAAACTTTGTATGGTGTTATTAATGGTTGTTCGGAGAAGCTTGGATATGTGTTTGCTCATTAACTTGCTGTGAATTTTTGTAGAAAAAAAAAGAAACGTTTGTTGGATAGTTTTTTGAAAAGAATTTTAGTAGAGTTTTTAAGATCTGTTCAAGATTGCACAAAAAAAATTAAATTGCTCTGTTGAGCTAACGGAGCCATCGTACACGTTTCTCAGGATGTATTCATGTACTTTGGATGCTTGGGTAGTTTGGAAAAAGCCGGAAGTCTCTTTTCTATCAAGTTTCTATAAAGTTTCTTTGCTATCTTTGATAACTCTTCAAAACTCTTCAAGATCTTGATCTTGTCAAGACTTTCAGGATGAGTTGATCTGGTAAAAAAGCTGCTTCGTTGAAAAAAAAATTAAACGAGGGTTCAATAATTTGTTTTTATTTACGTTGTTCAGCTCGACAACTTTGTTCAGCTTTTGATGTTTGACTGTTTTTAATTAGGCTCAATCAGGGCTCTGCTCTACTGGCAACTTTGCATATTGGAGTGCTCTCAAGTGGCAGTAAAATTTAAAGCTTGTTTAGTATGGCTGATAGAAATATATGCAATTTGTAACGTCACTTGAAAGTAAATTTGTTACGAACTTATTTCAGTTTGAGCCAAAAACTTTTCATTTTATTAACAAAAACTTTATTTGCAGAACCAAAAAAAAAACATTTATTTTCACCTCAGCTTTTTTAATGGCCCGATAGGGTCATCAATCAAAAACAGTTTTGGATGGCACTTTCTTAATAAGCAGTGGGAAGTCTGCAAATATATGACTCGGAATATATTTCAGCGGCTGCCAGAAACGTGAATGAACAGAGATCTGGAGTAAGGGATTAAGTTTCGTTTAATATATGCATATTGTTTCGAAGAACGGATAACTATAGGTCACCTTTCTCGTAACAAGATCAATTGAGCAATCCCTCTGAAGCCCCTTTGCTCGTGTGAAAAAGTAGCTTAATAAGTGCTCACAACCAAATTAAAATAATTACAGTGTGAGAAACCATGCACCAGATCGGAAAACTAATATGGAAAAGCAAATTTCAAATTATCAAAGCTGAAATTTAGTTTTATAGTGAACAAATGTAGCCTATATAGTTTCTTATTAGGCCGGTTTTTTTCAATCTTATTACGGAGCCAGTTTTGGTTTATAGATTTTATGTTAGAGTACAAAACCTTCTTGGTAAATTGTTTTCCTCTAAGCACTGATCATCCAATTAAAAATTCATAAATAAGTTTGATTTTTTTTGCATTTTTTTCCAACTTTTTTTCTCGAAACTTCAGTCAGCCAATTTGAAAAACAAACTTCAGGCGGCAAATTGAGATAGGGTGGATGGTAGCTCAACTGGTTTTCGTAATATATGAAGAAATATGGAGAAAATTTTGGTTGGTTGAAAATAAAATTTGGGGCAAGGTGGAAGAAAAAATAAGAAAATTTATAGTAAAAAATTTGACAAAGACTAATTTTTTGTACCCAAAGAACTTGATTTTTGGTTATCGTGAAACAAGAAGCTTAGAACTTCGGAACAAAGAGTAAGTTTTAATTAAAAGTTCAGTCTTGAATCGTTTTTCTTTCTTTCAGGCTTCTCAGTCATCTGGTCAGTCTGGCAACACTGCATCACACACAGGTGCCTTCAAAGACTAATGAAGATTAGATTCATGGCGTTTTGTAAATAAAAACTGAAATTCGATCATCGCATCTCCATGGTCTGCCATCTATCACATGGGTTGATCTCCCACTGGAAAAATGCGCAAAACAACAGAAAAACGATCATCACCATATATGAAATACCAAAATTTCATCATCAATAGAACCATCATATATTGGTCGTAATTTAGTATTGGTTTTGCGCTTAAACAAACAACAATTTTAGCGATGAGTTATCGCCGATTTTGACAATTCAAAATCATGAAGATCGGCCCTAACAAGATGGCTCAAACCTATACTTTACATATCTAAAATTTTCAGATTTTTCTCTGATTGATTACTGAGCTACCCAAATCTTTTAAACTTATACAAGAGTCAAGGAAGAAAAAATTTTTATGTGGTGTCTTTTGTATTCAATTTAGTTATTATTAATCAGGCGAACCAATACTAAATTACCATGAGAGCTAAAAATGTTTATCATCACTAATCAATTCAACTTTCAAAATATCCTAATTTAAAAAAAAAATTTGCTTGCTCTTTGTTAGTATTTAGCTGTTTTGGTCTATTTTAGCTAAACTTAGGAAATTGAATGCAATATGCTTTAATAGGTTCTTCTTCCTAAAAATTGAGCTCGAGCAGTGCTTTTTTGAAGATTTGGTCTAATTCAGCTCAACACTTAGAAATTGGGGAATAAAAATTGATCCCGATTTGCCTAAAAACTGGGCCTACTCACCTCGTTTTTCCGAAAAAAGGCTCATTCAGTAACATGCAGGATAATAGAGACCAGATTGGGGACCAATTTCAACCGGGTGTGTGTAATATCCAAGTATTTGGATATTTATTAATCAGAATTAGCGGAACTCTGCATGCAGCAGTATTTAGCAGAAATTGGATTATCAGAAAAAATTAAAGGGCAGAGAGACAGCAAAACTTGATAATCTTGATATTCAGCAAAACAATTTTTCGTGCTAGAGAGAAAATGCTAAGCAGTTCAGTTTTTCGCCTAAACCAATCAAATTACTTTAAAACTAATGAAAAGTCGCTCAAAAGTACCCCAAATTGCATCAAAATACAATTGGCAGCAAACACAGAAAAGTTTCTGAAAAGCTGCAGTGTTTAGGCTATAAAACTACCGAACTCAACAAGGCCTGCATCAGAATAAGTAATAATTTATGTTGTGAGTTCAACCCGGTGCTACATCAAAGCAAAAATCATGATCAGAGATCCCTGATTATTTGAAAAAAGTGACGTCATCTGGTATTTTTTTAAATACATTCTTCTATCGTAAAGCCGTCTTGAAAACTTTGAGCCTACAAAATTACCAGTTGTTGTAAGCTGAAAGCTTAAACAAAAAACTTGTCCCATGCTTTCGAAACACTTGAAAGTTAAAATTCATTCAGTTTGGTCTGGATCAATTTGTTCATCATTTCTGTTTTAACTACATTTGCGATAAGTTAGGGTATTGCATCCGAGAGCTAGATCTTTTTGCCTGTCAATATATTTGTTCCCAGAATTGTCAATTTAAAAAATTGCCTTTTGTACGTTCCTGCTAATGTACATATACATAATTCATGTATACGTTTTAAGGATTCGTGATAAGTTTGATAAGTTTGTAAGTGGTCCATGCACGTCTTGTGTTGGTTTTTTAAGAGAACAGAGAGACAGTAGAAATAACTGTTCCGAGAATCTCTTAAGAAATATTAGTTTTTTAATACAAATGCAAATTTTTTCAGGAATTGAGAACCAATTTTTCGTTCTAAAAAGAAATTGCTATGAAGCTTAGTTTGTTGGCCAGAACAGTTCAATTTACTCATTACCTTCAAGTGTCTGCGGCGAAGAAATATAGACAGAAAGAGCAGAAAGGTTTCTGAAAAGCCGCAGTAGTTCAACTATAAAGTAATTAGATTCCACCAGGCCTGCCTCAGAATAGGTGATGATAAATGTTGTGAGTTCAGCTCATTGCGGCAGCCAATCACAAATCATAAACAGGTATCCGTAATGATTTGAAAAGTTTGACTACATCTGTTATGATTATAAATACATTCTTCTATCGTAAAGCCATCTTGAAAACATTAAGCCTGCAAAATTACCAGTTTTTCTAAGCTAAAAATGTAAACCTAAAATTGCCTCCCATTCTTTTGAAGCCTTTGAAAATTAAAATTCATTTTGTTTGGTCTGGAGCATTTGTCCTGCGCTTCGTTCATTTAGACTGTTCCAATTGATTGAACGGTTTTCTTTAGGACTAGGTTTTTTATCCTGATTGATATCATCACTGCTATTTTACAAACATTTCTTTAAATTTAAACGAGGCAGTGATTTGATACATCCACAGTGGTAAAATGACATTGAAAAGCGAGATCACTGTCACTTTTAGCTGTGTTGTTAGCTGATTGTTAAGTGTGTTTTGTGTGTTAGTTATTGTATCTTGCGGATTTTTGACACTATTGTAAACTAAATCTTTGAGCGGAATCAATAACAACTCAATACTGGGCAGACTCAGCGTTAAACTTTTGCTGAATCGTTCATAGAAGCTCTAAGAGACTAAAAACTTGTTTTCGAAAATTTCTTTTTTTGGAACTTGTGCACTGTCGTCAAAAACTTTAGCGGAGCTTTGAGTCAAGGCGAAGCGAATCCTCTGTGAGTAGTAACTCTGAAGTTCCTCTTAGTAAGGCAACGGTTGAAGTTCGCTGTGATCTTGTAGTGAGTGAGCGGAATGAAGATAAGAAGCAAAAAAAACAATCTAGTGATGAAGGGCAAAACACCGAGGCCCGGCCCGAGCCCTTCAACAAAAGGGAAAAAAAGTTAACCCGACCCGACCGCCACCATCCTGACGATCTAGAGGTATCCAGCGATTACTCCGATCGTGGAAGGAGAGTTGAAGGAACTAGGAAGCGATCCGAGGCCACTGTAGGGATGAACTGCTGCTCAAGGGAACGTCTAGGTTGGAGACCAAGAGCAATAGTCGGAGAACGGAACAATCCTCTCTAGCCAAACAGAGTAAGAACACGATGATGTCGAGCATAAATCCCAAGGAAGAACAGTCATTTTTGCAAGCGAAAAAGAGTTCTAGGACTTTATATGATGAACGTATGACATCGCTCCGAACTAGTGGATTGCTTTCTGCCTTTGACCATCTGGGGCCAATGCACTCGGAAACGGATTTCACTCCTAGACCGAAGCAGGAGAAGAACAAGAAAGCGATGTCCACCTCACCATCAGTAACGGTGTCGAATATGATAACGATGGGAACGTCCTCGAAAGTTGATAGGGTAAAGATTTCAATGGGCATGCAGAGAGGCGGGACAATCCTCGAGCTTTAGCCTGCAAGCTCAATTAACGTCGTCTTCTCTAGGTCTGAGCCCACTGTTGGACTTTGCCAGTGATGTGAAAGGCATGTTTGCCGATGTGATGACATTTCTTGAAGAACTGCGGAAAGATATGACAAAACGAATCGAACGAGTAGAGGAGAGGGCTCAACAGGGCCATGAGAGGCTAAGAGAAGAGCTTGCAGACGCGAAATCTCTGGCCCAATGTGATCAAGTCCAGCTGGTTCAGAACACCGATAGTGCCTTGCCGAACCTGAAGACCACTGGCAAGCACCACTGAACAATAATGACAGCACCGATGCTCAAATGAGTACTAACTCGGAGAGTAGATTAGATCTGACGCTCATGTTGATCTTATGAAGCGGAAGCTTTTAAGCAGCAAGAATCAAAAAACTGCTAAGCTCCGAGGGAGAATTCGTGTCAGCCAACTGACGGGATTGGAGCCCCCAGACATACAAGGGCTCCCCGAGATCGAGAAGAAGTTTTGAGTCTAACTACAGGGAGAGACCCAGGGCAGCCCCGTTGAGGCCAGGTTGGACAGATCCAGTCCCGCCAGAGACAGAAGCCCCATCGGGGGCACTTTTATCCACAATGCCCTAAGTCAGATCGGTTCCAGATTTGACCATTGTCTCACATGACACTACAAAGTATGCATCAATGTTTGAGCCACTTAACAGATCCCTTGAAACGTTCAGCACTAAATTCGAAGTTTACCGTGAGAGGAGACAGTTCAAGTAAAACACACAAAAAATGAAGTCGAACAAGGATGAGTCCGATGGCTGCATTGATATCTGGATAGAAGTGATGAGGTTACATTTTGCAGAAGCAAGAATAAAGCACACTCACGAGCACACGGCTCTGAACTGTGTTATGGCGAAATGAACAAAACAATGTGACAGTGCTGGTAAGGTCTTCGATATTTTGTTGAATCGTTCCTGCTCGGGAGTGCAGGAGAATTGGGAGAAGGTGAAGTTTGAAAAGGAGCGCCAATAAGATGATGAGTCCATTGACAAATTTTTAGAATGACCTCAAGCTGCTGAGGAGGAGGGCTAAATCTGATAAAAGAATCCTAGAACACAACCTAGCCAATTCCTCGAAGTTCATAGATGGGGTAAGAATTGACGAATTGAAAAACCATGTTGGCGAAATTCTGGTCATAAAGCCTAGGGCGTAGAATCGCGACAGCAATTACGGCAATTATAGTGGAATGAATACCGGAACGGGCTCCAGTTGGCTTAAGTCTCATCGTGATGACATGGACAAGAGGAGGTCACGCGCGATTTGTGGTTCGCTGAACCATCACGTGTCAGCCTGTTCCACTCAAATACAAAGCATGGAGGTGATCGGTTACCCTCATGACGATGTGTACGCAACGGATGAGGACCACGAGGAATAATGAAGGCTTATAGTGGAATAATGAAGGCTTATGAGATGGCTTACAATGAATTATGGACCAAGATGTTTCTTTTATAACCTAAAAGGGTATTTTAAATCAGACTGCACTCAGTTTTGGGATGCAGAAGCAGACCCGAATCACCCCGCCTTGAAGAGGCGCTTTTTGGGATGAAGGCTAGTCGAGCACACTCAATGAACGAAGCTGAATCGCGAAAAAAGGTGAAGACCTTGCCAGATAAGGTGATTGCCTCAAAACTGGAGGGCATCACGGCTAATACTCTTGAGCTGAATTAGGGCCTAGCCCTAAAAACCGCATTAAAGAAGGTTCAACAAGAGTTAGAGACGAAAGAAGTTGAACAATCGGTGGGGTCTGAACTGGAAAATACGGAGTAGCGCGAGAAACGGGGTGCCTTGGAGAAAATCATGAAATCAGAAGAAAAGGAGAGACCCGAGATCCGAGGTATGAAATTGAATGTGACCTCTGACGAGAGAGGGAAGCAAGATAATGTCTGTCATATCGGTTGCCGGTCATCAGGTTGAGAGAAACTTGAGCGAGCCATCCGAAATTACCCTGCACCACCTGTAATTTTACGCAGATTGCTTGCGGTAGAGAGAT